GTAATCTTTCTGTGTATCTTTTCTCTCTAGATAACTTTCTGTTTCTCCGTATCCCATTCTCTCTCAATAACTTTTGTCTCTATGTATTTTATTCTCTCTCCGTTCGCTTCTTTCTTGGTAGCGTATATAAGCGTGTGTTTTGTATTAGATGGATACACTTGGATGTAGAGTATAGTTGAATGAACATCGTGTAGTAAAACACTAAACTATGCCTCTCCATTTTTCATAACGATATAGAATGAAGCAGCTCAACTAACATCAATGCCACGTATAACGGTAGAGTTAAACTTCTTCTCTTTTTCGTTACACATATTCTAGGATTTTTTTGGATTTTTCGAAACTTCAGGAGAACGCGTCGACATCAAGTTAATCCAAATATACCATTAGATAGGACACAAGAAATTCTACTAGGAACATGAGTATTGAACATAAAATCAACTAAAATTCGGTTTCAAGTCAGAAATCAACACAATCAATTCCAAGAAGCAACAATTTAATCAATTTTAATAAAAGAAAAAGCCTATTAGTAGGATTTAAACCTTAAGGGTGTTCGCCCCCCCCCTTTCCCGTTTTTCTGAAGAATGACTCATCAGTAGATTTTGAATCTTTCGTGGCAGATAGATCTTGTAGAGTATATCAAAAGTTGTGCTAGAATCAAAGTTCACAAATGTTGTCTTTTATGAGATATTGGGGTCGCAATCGATAAAAATGACCCAAATTTTTGTTCCCGTTTCTCAGAGGCCCAATGTTCGATCGAATTGAAACGTTTTTCATAAACACTGGACACTGTTTGGGGTGGGTAGTATTTTGGATTTCCTTATATTTTTTGTCCTTTAGATAAAAAAAAGTCAAAATACCGGATGTACCCTAAAAAACTACTGTTTTCTTATTAATGCAGTTTTAGTGAAAGTTGCCAAAGCCCACCAGTGTAATCTTTTTTGGAATAAAAAAATCCCCACCCCAAATGGTGACTAGTATATGTAAAAAACGTTTCAGCTCGATCACTCTTACCGTGTTGGAGAAACGGGGGCGAAATGCTAGTTTTTCTTCTGAAAATTTGATTTTGAGGAAAACGCGAAACAAAATTCACTTGCGAGTTTTTTCTGAATACCTATTTTTTTATCCTTTCTGATTGTTTGTAGGTTTTCGACTACTGCGCGTTCGATGGGCTTGTTTTCTACATTCAAAAACTACTTTTGTTCATATCTGTGCCATACAAGCAAACAGATATAAACAGCATATTGACTGAAATTGCCACGTGTATTTCATGTCTATTTCAGAGAGAAGGGGAAAAGCAGATCATGGAGGATGAAAAGTTGTTGTCAGGTGCTGAATGATTGATGAAGGATATGCAACAGGATTCATTTAGATTCTTAGTTTACCACTACTAAACTCGATCATGTATCTCGAACTTAAGTTGAAAGATGTCTCACGCACCTTGATACGCTCCTTGGACGAGGTCATACGCTAAAACCAGAATAACTAAAAGTAGATTAAACGCTAAGACGGATTTTTTCAGAAAAAGAGTGCAAAAATGGAGTTTTCCCCCGGTAGGGCGTCTCAGAAATCATTCTTTTTGAGGCCTAAACGCGTTCAAAGGAAGGATTTTTTTTAGGAGATCGATAGAACATGCTGCAAGGTATAAGTATCACTGAAAACAAAAGATCAGGAAAAAAACATTTTTCACGCCAGAAAAGAGAGGGGGTACCCTTAAAAGCATCGAATAATCTAGTACCTGCGATCAGAAATTTAGCTAATTTTTATATCAATTTTATTCTTCATCAGGCAGAAATACTATAGTTTTCATCACTTTTTATACATGCAAAATCATTTAAATGAGATTTTTTCTGAGTTTTGAACATGGGGAATATACAGGTAGAACATCAAAATAAAGCACAAGACAGCCAGAACTCTCTATTGTGCAGAAAACTCCGAAATTCGGCGGCGAAGTTCTGAAATACTCCGGAGCATTCTCATAAATCATCTCATAAATCACAAACTATAGAGCTTACTATCAATATAATTCATTTCAGCTTATATGACAACAACGTCTGCCAATCGTTTTATCGTAAAGAGTTTCATTATTTGTACAAGCCTGCCACGTCAGGCATGTCCCCTACTTGAAACTGAAATAGTTAAGATGAAAAAAATCATAGAAACATCAAAAAATACTGCCTGAACTGACAAATCATTGTGAATGTTACAGCGCAAAAGTGCTGCAATCTTCCATCATTTATCAAAAAGAACTATCATAAATCATCTGTTTCCATCCTTAATAGAGCAACTGCGACAAAGTCTGTCATTTACGGCTCACTTTCATTGAAAAAAATCCAAAAGCAGGATTTCTGCATCTTAAACGTTATGGGTAAGGACAGAAGACATGACGTGCCCCACCTGTTAACTAAATATTATTCTAAGTTCACGAGATCATTTATCAAATTCGCCTATACCAAGCTATTTCTGCTTCATTCCAATACCACTTCGGATCTTAAGTTCGTCAAAGCCGGTTTTAGCTGTAAATCAGAAACTGCACTGGGCTGAATGTACAACATTCAAGAAATCCTATATATATATATATTCATTGAAAACATCAGAATACATAGGTTCCATATAATCTCTAGAAGTCACAAAGACTCGGAAATCCCACTTGACCTTTCGCAATAAATCGAACAAAAACATTGTTTTCCCATACAATCGAGTTAAACTTTGAAGTCGATCTATACGGAACATATTCCTATATCGAATTCCTGTTGAACCCTACCGAATAAATCCACTAAAATAACAAAAAAAAATCCTTAAACATATTTCTACGATCGAAAAGATCCAATTTCGTGACAAACATCAAGGAGATTTTAGTAATTCTTCTAATTTTTAACACCAATTTCCATGCGTGCTATTACTTGTATTACTCCATATCAATTTTTTTGTATTTTTATCATGATCTTCACTGAAGTAACCACCAATGATTTTTGAAGATTTCTATTTAACCAATTTTCCTCTCTGTCTTGCATAAATATTCATCATTTCAAGATCTATTATTCTCGATACTATATGATTAATCGTAAATAATACCATCAGCATTAATTCATACCAAATATCATTGTAGCACATTAATACCGATTTTCGCTGAATTATATACAAAACACATTGATTTTAGCAGGATTCCTTTGATGCTTTTTCTATTTTCCAGATTTCGCATGATCCCCGGTGTAGGATGGAACATAAATCACCTAATAAGGATCTCTTGATGCTCTCGATCTAATGCTACTATCCAGGATTCTCTACGATGCTTCCTTCAAAAGATGATGTTAGTATAATGTGTTCGATGTATTTTTGTATTCTTTTAGATTTGCGATGATTTTTGCTGTTTGATGCACGGAAAATCATAGGGAGTTAGCTTTATGTGTACTCGGTAGGGTTAGGATATAGAGAGTGCCCCTATAGATCTGTTGGAAGTATGATTTCTGCGATTTTCGGTGTGATTTGAAGTAGATTTTTTGGCTGCTTGCATTTTTTAGTGTGATTTCTATAGAAATGTAGTAGAGTTGATGTCTGTAGTGTGCTCACTATCGATCGGAGGGGTTTATGAATGAAGTTTTCTGTTTGTTCAGAATTACGGCCGTAAACGGTCGGTTACGATGGTATTACGGTCGTATACGCTGCAGTGCTTGATTGTTTCCTGTTTATGATACGGCCGTATACGATCGGATACGACTTCTAAACGGTCGCTGTGTTCTGCCGTATAGGACACGGCGATATACGGCGCATACCAAAACGCTAAAATACGGGCCGTATGCGGTTGTAAATTCAGCGTATACGGTCGTATCTAGTCGTCCTAATGTTCGACCTTGGAGGTAAAAAGAAAAACTCATCAAAGTGGTGACATTGAATGGCCAAAGCCCGTTGAAATGCAATACAATAATAGTTGTTTGAAAAATTTCATTCAGCACATGTCCTTCAATTCTCCAGCGGAGGCATTTGTGATACTTGTAATATTCGTTGCTATAAGCGTGGCCTACACCACGTATCATTCAGTAAAATTCCATCCATTGAATTACTTATGGTTCATAAGGACCTTTACGACATAATCCCTCGAATACAAACAACGAACAATTCACATTCAACAGATAAGTTTAACTGGAACAACGATGTTGACTTGACTTTGGTTCGAGACCAATGAGGTGCAGGCTAATCTTTTCTAAACGTGAACTAACAGAATTAATCAATTTTTTTTATTACAGGTTGGAATGTGGAATCATCGATCGATAATCAGTCGTTTGCTCTTGTAAGTGATGTTGTGTTTTACAAAATAGGATTATATAGAACTTTTGATGAAAGGGTGTGGGTGCTGGTACGACCGTGGATTAGTGTTGTTGTACAGTTTTCTAGATTCAAACTCAAACACACTGACAACCACATCCACGTCCTTTATCATATATATTGGATTCAGACGAATACGGCGACATTGATTGAGCAATCTCGGTAGTACCCCACCTGCAATGAGTCTTATGTTGATGATAAAAAAGTGTGCTCTGTATTTAACTTCTATGAATTCAAATATGTAATATCATTCATTTAGTATAAGGTTACGCTGTCAAAATTCGTTACCGGTAGTACCTGAGTATTCATAGTTCTATTCTTTATTCACTCGTTTCTCTCAAGTTACTCGTTCACTCTCTCGTATACACGCAAGTGTTCTAGTTAAAGTAGACACTGTTGGATTGAAGAAATAATTCAGTGAATATATGTACTGAACAGCGTGATAGCGCTAAGCTCTGTATGTTCGGATGTGTAGTACAATAAAGCAAGCATAATTATTTTAACAATTTTCACCCTTCATACAACCGTTGCTTCGTTGCGCATACATGTTATACTTATTTAATGGTGCATTATATCTTCGACAAAACTTATCTCGGATTCAATAAAAATCATTCAAATTAGTTTTGATAATTACACTCTTTTTAAATAAAAATTGTCGTTAACTGATTAACATTGAAAAAATGATTTTTGTCAGAAAAGTGCCGTTTAAATCAAAAACATACTTTTGCGTAGGAAGTTTATCTGTGATTATAATAACTATTGTTGCAACTACAATAATAATAAAACAGCTATCAAGATGTTTGTTTTCTGTTAATTCGAAAAATCAATCGATTTCACAGCAACATCATGCAACTTGTATTGTATATGTTGAGAACAGTGCTGGTCGACTAGGTAATCGAATGTTTATGGTCGCTAGTGCTTATGGTCTTGCTCGTCTTCATTCGTGTCATTTGTATTTTACACCAGTAATAATCGATGAAATAAATGCAGTATTTATTTTTGACCTTTCTTCTCTTCTTATTTCAACTACCAAGTTTAACTCAATCATCAACAGTACTGCAAAAACTTTGAATAGAATAATTAAGAGTGTTGGTTGTCAATATATTCTTGAATTAACACGCCCGAATGCTATTTCTCCAGGAAATATATTTGAACTGCAAGGTTATTGGCAATCATATCTTCATTTTTTGAAATATAGCGATGAGCTGAGAAATCATATTTTTGTTGCGCGACAACCAATAATTGAGAAAGTCTCAAAGTTATTTATTGATATTTATCAGCAACAGTTTAAATTCAGTCCTCATTTTTCATTTGACAATCAACAATTATTTAAAAAACAATTAGTTCAATCGAACTGGACAACATGGATCGGAATTCATATACGTCGTTCAGACTTCCTCGGTGAAAATTATTCTTCATCCGACGAATATATTTTTTCTGCTGTCGAATATTACAAACAACATTATTCGAACCCGTATTTTATAGTCGCTAGTGATGATAAAAAATATTGTAAAAATCTATTTCGTAACAAAAAAAATATTTTTCTCACGCCAGAATCATTCTCTGTGGGTGATGATTTAACAGCATTATCACTCTGTGAGCATTCTATCATAACTGGTGGAACATTTGGATGGTGGGCAGCTTATCTTGCTAATGGCCAAGTGATTCATGATAAAGTATATCCATCTGGATGCGGACGACGTGAATATTACTATCCATCATGGTTTATGATAGACGGATATGTACGAGCGTATAAGAATAGTAATAATACTTTGCGCTGAAAAGCTTACAGAAGATGCTCCTAAAATAAATGAATGAATACTGATATTATATAGCTTTTGCACTATCACCATGATTTCGCGTAATCTTCTTAAATGTGTTTCTTAACTTAAGCAGCACATAAAATGTTTTTTAGTGTGCGTATGGATGTCCGTGTGGGAATCACTGTCACTCAGAAGTATGAATCCACACCCACACCCAACTTACACTGTACAAAAGTAGAAATGTTTAATGAATAGAAAACAAATGCATAATAAATTCCGATCAGAATCCGTTGTAATACATTGAAAATTTCGTTTCCTAATTCTCTTAACTGATGATACGTAACTTTACTGCTTGATGACCGTTAGGTAGTGGCGCTATCTCTGACCACTACCTATCTTCTTTCTGTTATCTCTATTGGTCATGAGACTGACTAATTGGTTTAACATATGTATGGAGAAAAGGAGTTGTTAGAGTTGTTGAAGTGATTCTAGTTGGTGTTGGTTTGAAGAAATAAAGAGTTAGGTAAACGTAACTAATCTAACAATGACCATGCCTCGTAAATTCCACCATCGGTTTACTTCTCCATAGTAGAGGTTGCAATCATTATCATCACCATTGCATACAAGATTCAGATTAAGAGCACACAGTGGTGCTTGAACTTTTTCACAATGATCGAGTTCTTTACTTTGCTATAATGATACATTAACAGATATCCGCAGAAGTCTCGGTGTCGACTCAAATAGATGAATCCACTTTTGATTAACCACAAAACCATCGGCGTCTACAAGACCAATTGGTTTCAGTTTAATGAGACATGGTGTTGTCGCCACTAGTTGAACAATCCAGTGAAATGATACTTCTAGTAGTCCCAGACTAAGAGCACGAAGATTCTGAAAAATGAACGAAGGAATAAGCTTTTGGTTACGATCAATCAAACTGACGCTCAAAAAGCGAATGCTACTGAGATCAGGTAGCATTTGTGATAAGTCATTCCAGTTAATTGTAGAACCTGAGTCTAAGAGAAATTGTTCGATTTTACTTGATACTGTAGGTAAAAAGCAGAATTTCGAACTCTCTCCTAATTCACTGGTAAGAATTATCAGACGACATAATGAGGTAATAGATAAGATAGACGTGAATAGTTCTTCTAGAGATCTAACGATAGAAGTAACAACAGTAATTTGATTTAGTTTCGCGTTTGCGTGTGAAATACTATTGAGAGTGCATGAGACCCATTTAACTACGCCAATTAGGTTTTTATGAGCAAAGCTCTAAGCAGTTTTCGATAACTTTGATGCAAGAAGATTCGTGGAGTGTGAGAGAAACAATACGACTGCGAGGAATTTCTTTTGCAAGATCTCCTATATCAACATCGAGTGTAAGCCCCGCGCAAAAAGTGCCGCTTATTTGCACTAAACAATAGTTGATCAACGACAGCTGTAATAGATTCAAACGTCATGAATAACTCCATGATTTTGAAATACTCGAAAATTTGTTCCCAAACGTCAAGAACACAAATCATCAATCGTACTGATCTTTTCTACAAATGAAAATAAGGTTATACAACAATATTGAGACAGCAATAATATTTACCTTTAAACCTTATATTGGCTACAGTGATACTACAATTTTTACTGTCTCCTTTGATTCGTAAAGATTTAGGTCCATAATAATCCATTACATGCAATAATGCGAATGAATAAATGAATGGCAATCGAAATGATGTGTGTCAAAAGAATTATCTGAAAACAGGAAACAATTATCGCTTCCTAATTGATAATCTTTGATGTAATTACAAAACTAAATATCATTTCCGATAGAATTCATATTAATACTGTGATATGGTTTTAAAATGTGACTCATAAATTCCGAAAAGATATGCATCGACTTGTACAGATGTATAAAATGATCTCAATAATGTTTTCGACCATACTCCCAACGATACCAATGTATTGAAGCTCACATTGTCATTGAAATGAAAATTTTGAAGAAAAACTTCTCATATTATCTAGATCATCTCGTATAATCCACTATAGAAATTAATATATTTCTAATTGAAGCAGAGCATAACATACGACAAACTTTGTGTTTTCAATGAACTTCATAGACATACACTACAAGTATAATGATTACAATAAGACTATTTAAATACAAGAAAACATGATATCACACCATAAGTTATACAAATCAAATTATGCGAATGATGATTGAAAAATTAACCGCTGTGCTCACAATGGCCACATGAGTAGTGTACTGTTGGCTCATCAGCCACGTAATCCACACACAACTTGCACACCGAACATGCTGATAATTGAGCCATTTGAAGTGTCACAGTGATGTCTTCAACATACAAATGTCGATGATTTTCTTCCAAGTACATACGAAGATGCGAAATTCAAGAACCTGTTAACGACCAAATTAATCTGAACGTTTCAAAATAAGATATATCTACCAATAGAAACAAGGTGTAATGGAAATGCATAAAAACAGCAGTTTACCATAAATAATGTGAATGTTAATATTAAATTTTATGGTTTCTAAACAATACAATAACTACGCACTACAAGAGCACATCAAAGGTTAGTGTTTTATTTTATTCATTGTCTCATGTTTTTCATTAATGTTGGCGGATTATTATTGTTATTGTTGTTATTTTTCGAACATCAATGCCATTTCGAGTAATTCTTCATCGGATATCTCTGGTATTGCATTACTGCTCGTGATGTTTGAGACAACCATTGTAGCTGTACTGGAAAATGTTACTGGTAGTGGCACTGCTGCAATAAATCGACTTTTTTGGTTTGCCGTTTCATGACGAACCATTATTTTTTTGTGTATGCGTTTCAATTTCACCAGAAACACTTCTTTTGATTGTTGGAGTCGATAATTCAGGTATTACCTATGACATTTATTAAATAGATCTGATATGATAGTGTAGAAATATACCTTATCCTGAGCAGATGGTACGATAGTTTCCAGAGTTGATAGTTCTTATTTTTGTTTCTAAAAACTGAGACAAACCTGGAGATAAAACCAGAAGGAAAACATTTTTTTTATATTACTTACTTGATAGATGCGATATTTTTTTCGAACGATTATTCTTTATAGAAATTAGTGAATCCGTTGGTAAAATCTACAAATAACATATTTTTCTTCTATTATAGTTTCATTTAGAATTTTGCCTTTTATTTATTCATCATATAGATCAAGATTTCTTCAACTATGCTATTCGGTTAAAGAGGCTCACTAATTTTATTTAACTCAAGATTAACATAGAGTACAAACAATAGAATACATTCACATTATGACAGTCTATGCGTATCATGACAAACAGCCAATATTTAATGTGCGATGATGTCACAACTTATACATGATTTTAAAAAACGCTGATAATAACAGTGTTTTTTTTGCTAGGTTCGTATTATAACGGTGGTATTGCTGTTTTATCGTTTCTATAATTATGCTTATCTAGAGTTTGTGGATAAACAGCAGCCAGAAAAGCTTCATGAACTTGATATGTGTCGATGTTGCGTTCAGGACGTTGCCAATACTCTGCAGGGGCACTTCAAAGTTCACCATCATCATCATCATCGAAATTGATGGGTTCCAATAAGGTGAATCCTCGTTCACAGTACTTCCCAACACGAGTACAAACGTTGTTGGAACTTTCAGCATGTAGACTATAGACGAGAAATGACTTCGTTGCCTAGGCTTGCAAAAACGCAAATGTAGACATGATTGTAACTCATAGAAATTAGAAAAAGGTTCATTATACTTACAAGTAATTAGAGTGTTGAGGGAGAAACAGCTGACTTCAAAACTTAGTAAGTCTTTCAAACAAATCCCATCAACAGTTAAATGGTTGATTAGACTTCACAGATTTCGAGTAACTGCCATGAAAATTTAAATGCTTTTAAGATCTAAGTTGTTGCTGTTCTTCTCTCACAAAATCTGAAACTCTACCAATGATATGCTACTTGACAAATATCCATGTCAAAGTTGTGGAGAACATGAGAAAGCGGATTTTTCGATTTCTCAGCAAGTGTGTAATAACAGGTGAGCTTGACATCACATGGCAATGAAATATAGTAGTGAAGAGATCCTAATATTTTTTCGACCATAATTTCATGTTTCACGTGCATTGGGTGCATTTTTGCAGTTTGGTGATAACGTTTAGTACCGCCATTTCCAAATCAAGTTAATATCTTGTTCTATGGTATCGCCGAATGGCGAACGACATAGTGAATTAAGTACACAACTGCCAACAATTGCAAACTTCGAAAAATCGATTGTTTCCAGCCATTGTAATGAGAAGAAGCGAGTCGCGAGATTATATCGAAAATCGTCGATGTTGTTCACAAATGCATTGCTTATTGGACTAAATTCGTTATTTTTTCTTTGGTAAAATACGTGCTGGCTGAATAAAATTAATATTAAGAGGCTTTAAGTTGGAATTAGTATTGAAGATATCTTACTTTTAAAAAATTTATTCTCGTAAACATTTAAATCTCATTCAGAACTTATTGTTTCATTGTACAACTGATAGTCAATCAATCGGAAATCGGCAAAGTATAGATCAGTGTTGAAAGGCAAAATTCGAGAGTAACATTGGAAAAGTGGTGTTCGATACGCTTTGCACAATGCGCCCAAGCCTTTAGTGCTGAAGCATGAATGAACAAACAGACGTTGGGCAGGTTGAATAACAGAAGGGTTGTGATTTTCAAATGGAACCAATTTATCATCCAGGATTTCACAAGCTTGTAAATAATTTCCATAAATTTCTGCAGGCAATAAAATTCTTGCCCGACCATCAAACTTCTTCATTATTTTCACAAACAAGCGATCCGATGCTGTACCAATAGACACAAATTGACTGCAATTATTTACCACTTTCTGAAAATTAGAAGCGTCAGTTCCATTAAGAAAATTTACCAGATGCAAACCAATATCAGCATTGAGTTCAGGAATTTCCATATCATAATCAGTCATACTTAACAAAAATAGTATCAATAATTAGCGATTGCATATATACCTCCCATTTTATACTCACAATTTAATGCTTTCGAATTGATTTCTTCCGTAAAATTACAACCTTTTAATCTAAAACGTTCAAAACATTTTCATTAATATACAATTTCAATATTATACTATAAACTTATTTTAATTTTCAAATAAATAAACAAAACATTTCATTACAAAAACAATTTTTCCTCCAATTTTTACACTAAATGCAACACCGACTATCCGTTGAGATCATCCGAGAATATTCTTCGCAGTCCCACAAACGAAAACTCAATCATTTTTATCATTCACATAATATCTTTTCGACATCAAACCGTATATTAGCTTACTTGAAAACGAGAGTTCAATCTTAATTTTCATTTTGACATTTAAAAAAAATTCGTCTCAATATTCATCATTATCAACACTATTTGATTTTTTCCTTTTTTCTTTCCAATAGTCACATATATTGAATATATCATAAATTCTGTATCTACATCGTTTTTGTGCATTTGATGTGATGCTGTCATTTGTTCGTGGATATTGGTTTCGGTCTTTGATCAGAAAGTAATCGTAGTATAACTTACCGTCATCATTCTGATGTAATGATGCTCGTCAAGAATATTATCTAATGTTTCGTGTTGATGTATTTTTTTTCTTAGCATCGCTAATTTTTATTCTCTTATTGAATCAGTGATTCTTAGTACTCTCTTATTTACTTCTCTATATCAATTATAATCTATGCCGTTGTTATTGCTCAGGATATTGAATCGGTTTGACACAATAAGTGGCATAGTGTTGCTTTAATTGTTTCACCGTGTGTTCTTTTCTTCATGATGGCGCATGATATATCATCTGCACGTTTGTTGGGAATCTATATTGCTAATTATCGAAAATATATAGCTTGCATCATTAGTGATTTTTTCATTAACAGGCGGTCATATTGTAAATGAATACCCATCTTAATCTGGCTCGTTCAATCGTTAACTACTCACTGTTATGACGTTCTTGTGGAAAACATTTTATTTTATTTTCAGCGATCGGTAGAATAGATAAATAATCAAATAAATTATTCACATGCTTCTCTGATTGAGTAGTAAATTATGTCTACATATAATCTAATACAGAATAAATATTTTTGACGAATAAAGATTAATTTTGTTTTAAAGTGATATTTTGCTCTTAGTAGAAAATGATTATATTCTCTGTGCTTTTGAATCAATCATTTGATACCGCAAAATTAAAAGAAATATTAGACATATTTGAAATGTGCACATAAAATCAATGAATATCATTGCAATATTTGACAAGTTTTCATTAGCTAACACGCGAGAATTGCATCAATTTTACATAAAAAAAAAGAAACAAGAAGAAAATTCACAACGACAGAAGTTTTCGCATGCAGAGAACAAACATGCACACTATTATACGTAATTTGATACCAATTATTTGAAGAAAATATCTAATAGCTTCTGCACATTTTGTGAGTTGTTAATGACATATTCCTAATTCATCCACCACCAGTGATGAAGCTGACATATTCGTTCGTGCAGTATAAAACAGAGATAGGTAAATAGTTTTCTTTATTGAATAAACGAAAAAAATTAACCTTCGGGAATCTTCAAACGTTGAACAACAATTTGTTCGGATACTCGACGAACGAACAATTTGAAAATAGCCTAAATGATTCAAGTCACAATTACAATTAACAAATAAAATTATTTCATACCTTATTCGAAAATCGATTAAAATATCTTGTATAATTATATCGAATCATATCAACAATAGTTTTCGTAGGTATTGGACGATAATGCATTTCGGAAGATGGAATATCATCGGGACGACGTAGCGGATCAACGATAGAATTGGATGAAGATATCGAACAAGAAAGATATCGTTCATTGAAGCTGCAGTTCGAAAAGCGTAATATGTTTCCGCCTCCTTCCGAAAAAATAGATAAAATAGTGCTTTGCCAGTCTTCGTCCGTACACGACGAAATTTATAATATTTCAACTGTTGTTGAAGCTGACCACAAAGAACATCATTCGGAATATCGACCGTTGAACGATTATTTAATACTAGTCGGCATTCCATTCTCTGAAATAAATGATTTCTTATATTACTTTCTATTACACAGAGGAGAAACTTTATTTCTTAAAAAGATCTGTTTACTATTGAAAATATTCAGCTAATATTGATTATGAATTTTTTAGTGCGTTGAGTCGAACTTTTCTAGTTACATTTTTCTGCATATGTAAGTTCGGTTCATTAAAATGAATTATATAAAATTCACAAAAGCAAGGCTTTTGATCTGTTGAAATTATATATCTCTGACTAATTATAATAAAAGAACAATAAAAACAATCGAAGAATTAGATAATCTTTATGACATCATGATTAGAAGTGATTAAAGACGTATGATTTAAATCGGACTAAAATTGATTTATTTCGTCCGTTCTTTTTGATATGAACAGTGACTGCTCTTAAACCATATGTCTCGATATCACAACTAATGAATTCATGCTGTGCAATTCTGTGCATTATTTCTCGATTAAGTGAGAATCTATTGCATGTTCTATTTCCGATTCACTCACTAAGATCGTTTTCTTTTTATGTACAATTATTTAAATAAAAGTGAATGCCATAGAAGGCTCGCTGTCCGCAACGGATCAGTGACTTGCGTTCAATTGAAAACCTTTTGCTATGATTATGAGATGTTAAGGCCAGTAGTATGAGATGGTAATAATGGTGATGAAAATGAAGAGCTGACGGCAATCGTGGCGATGAACAAATGTAACGAGGATAACTGGTAATGCCGCAGAAAAAGCGACGATATTTATACTCCGGTTCAACCCTACCCGAAGAGATTGATCGTTTTCTGTCTTTTAAAATTTAATTAAAAATCAATCAGTTATCTTGATCAAAGAATGAAATCTTTCAACAAATGTTCTTTCCTTGAAGATGATCACTTACATGTTAAAGAGGGATCATCATGAAATTGGCTAATTCAAAAAATCAACTCACCACATTTTTGATCGATTGTCTTAATTAGGGCTCTCTTTTGAATTACTTATCAAAAGTGAAATTCCTAAACGAAAATCCTTTTTATATTGGAATACCCTCTCTGAAACAATATTCTGAAAACTTCACCTTGCGACGCAAATGTGCTGCTAAATATTTCAATTTTCGTACTGCACTTTTTTAAGAGGAATAAATAGATGAAAAAAAACAGGTTACTGCTTTTGAATGAACTCCAGAAAAACTCAGTTTGAAATAACTACTTCTGTCATTTCTTTTATATTTCTCTGCTTGTTAAAGGGAATTTTTAATCATTTTTTTAATGCCAAAGCTGACCTACAACAGTATTAAAAATACCTGTAAAAATATATGGTTCATACATTCAGTAACGGCTAATGGGCGTACAAAGCGAAAAAAAATTCCAATTTAAAAAAAAATATTTTAAATCATATTTTATGAAATCATGAAAATAAACGTCATCTGTTCACAAGACATTAGAAAAAATTTATTAATAGTAAGATTTAAATGTTTTCTCTAATTTTCCAACATTAATATTTCAAATGAATTGAATCTATCAGTAACTCTATCTCATAAAAGCCATATGAGCTGTTTCATATCAGGATGATATGCAAATAGATAATGAATAAATTCAAAGTGATTTAATTGCAATAAAAGCTAAGACTTTTAATGAATGCATAAGAGTGTTGTCGATGCTAGTCAACTGGTTACATCGTCAGTGATTACAATCTAACAGTCATGTATTGATTGATTGTTATGTATTCTTCAATTGAATATTTCTTGGTTTCATTCTGCGTCACAGCAATAACTTTTATCTTTATGTTCTTACACATTTTTCTTTATCTTGTAGTTCAGCAGATTTTTTATTGATTGCTTATATCACTTGGCTAAGTCAATCAATCCTTTTATTTCTGCAATATTTTTTTTATTAATCGATGCAAATAAATCCTTTTAAAAGAATGAAATCCTTACAATGCATTATTGCAAATTATTTTCCAAAGATGCTAATTTAACTTGATTGTTTGATTTGTTTTATATTTTACATCGATTTCCAATTGACTAGAATTCGTTCCATGAATCATGTACTATTTTACTAACTTTAGAGAATTGTATACTATTGAGAGTGATTATGCTCATCATTTGTTTCGATTGTTTTCGTATACCATAAATGATTTATATTGATAAAAAATCCCCATCCTAATTAAATCAGCGTGAAGATGTTAACATAATTGATATTCTATATTGACGAACAAAATTTTTTGAATTTGATTTTTTTCATACATTCATATATGGTTAATATTTATCATCACACATTGACGTAAGGCACTTTCCGAACTAACAAAATTTCACTAAAAGACTCCACGTGCTTAAGTTTCAAGATCCCTTCTTAGGAAGGTGAGCGTTTATTTTTATAAATGTCGATATATCATTAATTTTACTCACACTCAACTTTAAATTTTAATGGCAATTAAATGATCAACGAATGGTGACAATATTCTGAGATGTAATCAGGACGAAAACAAATGATGTATCAATGCCATCGGTCAACAATATCGATCCATTATTATACATTTCAACGCATTATTTTGCCGCCTGAAAATGAAAAGAACAAGCTCATCATAGTCATTGGCCCATCGTGTCCTTTGTTCTTAGTATGTGTGAAAAGAGATGCACTGATTCTCTTATCTTTCTTTAATCTTTGACTATAAATAGCCGAAGACGAGTGCGTTCTGTTATTATTTCGTTTTCACGCGTTTGTAAAGAATTTACCACAAAACTACTTCTATCTTTTATTTACAATGTTATCCAGCAAATTTAACACAAGTCATCGTTCTATGATTAAACGACAACTTTTCAGAATCAATTTTGGTGGTCTTGAAAAAAATCCTCAAATCAGTCGGACTGACAACAAGGTCACTTATGGTAACGAAGCAAGTCCAGAACAACAAACAACATTACTTCGTAAAGCTGGTGATCAGGCTGGAAGAATTTTAGAAGGTGGGGCAGATGTCGTGATTGCTCCTGCCAAATGCCTTG